AACTGGCTGATGTTTGTTAAACTTACAGTGGCTCAGTCTAAGTCATTATTACTCAGGACTAACCATGAAGTTCAGACAGAGGAGAGTCTACAGGAATACAAGTGACTCAGGTTGGGATTAGTTTAGTTAGGTCAACTGAAGTTAGCTTCAGTAGGGAAGATTGGAAGACCTTATGAGGATGCAGGTCTGTGACCACCCAAGTATACTGGGAAGAGACAAGACCCTGCTAGGGTGATTGTAGATGTTGACAGCAACAAGAGTTAAACTTGGGAGGGTGGTGGTAAGAGTCCAGGAGATATATATGTATATACATCTCATAGTCCTGGGCATTAAACCAAAGTCCTCTGGAAGAGCAGCCAGTGCCCTTAACTGATGGGATCTATATATATATATATATACACACACACACACACATTAGCCTACGATGCCACCTTGAACAAGATAGTCTTAAAGAGCTTGGCAATTGTAAAAGTCTTTACCTTCAAAAAACTCAGTGTATCACCTCAGTGGTGTAAAGGAAGGGATGAGCCAGAGGAGTACCTATGTTATGTTCTGAGGTTCACCTGTGCTGAGGGGAAGGACAGGAATAGGGAATTGGCCTGGGGGAGGGGCAGGGGGAAGTAAAGGAGGCTAGAAGTGGATCTGAAGGGTAGGTAAGTGGAGCTGAAGGGATCTGAGCAGCTGCATAATAGTCTGATGCATTTGGGCAAAGGAGCGTAGATGTCACAAGATGGACCGGATATAAGGAAAAGACTACTTAGAGGTTTTCCACTGGGCCAAAGGTACCGGAGAGGTGGACAGGTAAGCACAGAAATAGAACACAGTGTTAGGTCATGATGCCTGTTCTAAACTGACTTCCATGTTTCTGTGAGATTTAGATTTTTATTTTGTGTGTACAAGTGTTGTGCCTGCATGTATGCCTGTGCACCACTTGTGTGTGCCTGGTGCCCAAGGAGGCCAAAAAAGGTAGTGAGACACCGCATAGCTGGACATTAAACCAAAGTCCTCTGGAAGAGCAGCCAGTGCCCTTAACTGATGGGCCATCTCTCCAACCCTAGATTTAGAATTTTAAAAATGCTTTTAAGTTTATTTGAGCAGAACATAATGCTACAAGCCTCTAATCCCATCACTTAGAAGCTGAGGAAGGAGGATTACCACAAGTTTGAGACCACCTTGGGCTAAATAGCAATAGCCTGTCTCAAAAGAGGAAATTGGGTGTGATGGTGCATGTCTTTAATCCCAGCCCGTGGGAGGCAGAGGCAGGAGGATCTCTGCATTTGAGGCCAGCCCAATCTATATAGTGAGTTTCTGGATAGCCAGAGCTACATAGAGAAGTCTTTTAAAAAGGAGGAAAAAAATTAAACTCAGGTTAGCTTGCTATGAAGCTGATGTGTATAAGGGAAGAGCTGTATAGGTGATGAGGGAAGTGTGAGCATCCCTCTTCAGTCATTCCCATCTGATCTTACAATCCAAACATTTGCAGCTTAGCCTATTGGTAGCCAGCGAAACTCCAAACTAACCTGACACAAAGCCGTGCGGCTCGCTTATCTATGATCACAAGTATTCAAAAATATTTGGCTAAAGGGTATTGATGAAAAGACTGGCAGCTAACCCACCAGGTGGCAATTAGAGGCAATAAAAGCTCTAAATTCTGTGCACGTCGAAGACCAGCCTCTAATGTCTGTTTTCCAGAATTCTCTCTTAATGAGGAAGCCAACTGGCTGTTTTTGTAGGGCCATCTGGAAGCCTGGAAATGTCACAGAAGTTTGTTAGCCCTTTAGATGTTGACTTTGTGGACCTGTCTACTGACAGGTGGTGACCTTCACTGGGGTGCATATAGCAAACCATGGCGTTGGGTTTGACTCCTTCCAGCAGTCAGGGAGAAAGGCCATCCAACCTCCTACACCTATGGCCAGTTTGAGTGACCACTTGGCCTTCCTTGCCATTTGGTGCTAGCTATTCCCCTAACCTGCCAATTCTAACAGATCTTGCTCAACCTCGCTGTAACTTCCATGAGCTCAATTTGATGACAGCTTCAGGCAGGGTCAACCCTCCATTTCTTTGTGAGAACCAGGACAAAATACTCCAAGTAGCATCCTTCTGGTGGCTAACTGCTACCTTTCCCGGTTTGAAGGAATTGTTATTGTTATTCTACTTAATGGGTGATATTTGGAGTCTGGTATAAAGCTCAGCTTTGGACCTGTTAACTGCTTTGTCGTTTAGCAGCTATGGAACCTTGTGGTAACAAACTCCAAAGAGAAGCGCAGTCTTTTTTTTTTTTTTTTTTTTTTTTTTCTTGTGTTGTTTTTTGAGACAGGGTTTACCTGTGTAGCTTTTGAGGCCTGTCCTGGAACTAGCTTTTGTAGACGAGGCTGGTCTTGAACTCACAGAGATCCACCTGCCTCTGCCTCCCAAGTGCTGGGATTAAAGGTGTGTGCCACCACCTCCTGGCTCCATCTTTCTTCTTGTAGTTAAATAAAAAGGAGAAGGAGATGATGATGATCTGGATGTGCACTTAGGGAAATGTGCGCAGCACGCTGATGTGCTATACTGCTTGATTAGGGCAATCTACTTGTATAAAAGGATCTTTGAAAATCCTTGCAGTAATGTATGCCAATGTAGATCAGTTCTTACAATTTTTATATTGAAGGTACATCACAGAAGTGTGTTTCAAATAGCGTCCGATTATCTCCCTAAATAGTTTGGGCGTGTTTTTTACTGGCAGAAAAATAACCAGAGTTAAAGAATCTCTCATTTGTATTTTATCAGACTAATGGCAAGGCTTGCTTGGTATGCCCGTAACTGTAAATATCACAGGGCTGTTCATTTGTGAGCCTTTGACTACCAAAAACATCGCGGGCTGGGACTGTTTTCCTGAAGGATGAGGTCATCTAGAGGCAAGTCTGCTCTCTTGCACATCTCCGTTATGTGTCACCAGCTACAACTTTAGGTTTGGTGGGTGCTGCAGCCTGCACCTGTCCAGGCGGGACCAGGGCTGTTGAGAGAGTAGAGAGAATTCTACTGCATCCTGCAGAGAGAGAAGCGAATGTCCTAAAACACGCAGTTGGCAGCAAGGTGGACAGGACCGCTCGCACCAGGCTGCTGGTCTCCCCGTGTCCTGCCATGCGTGTATCCGGGAGTTGTGAAATGAGTCAATAGACTAGGGTAAGGCACGACCCCCAGACTCAGTCTTGAGAAGCAGTGCTGGACTGTTGTCAGTACAAGGGTGCATTCGGCCAGGTGGGTGCACCCCAGGAGCCCCAGCACTTGTGTATCCATCAGCAGCATCTTTGCTTTGCTAGGGTTCCTCCGAAGTTACCGAGGTGCAGGGAAGAGGAGGGGCCTCGCCTAGGACGCCCAAGTGATTGGCTGTCCGGGGCCCGTGGAGAGGGCGTGTGGTCCAGCCCTGGTAGAGAGGGGCGGAGCGGCCACTATTCCTACTACCGCCGCCGCCAACACAGTCGCAGCGACCGCATACTCGGCCACTGGGCAGGTCGTGCTGAGCAGCGGCTTTCCGGGTTGGGAACGCCTTACTGGGGTTGTTCCATACCCTGCCGGTACCTGGCAGCCGAGCAGCAACCACCACATCTGACCCTGTGCGTGGTGTTCCGCTGGATCTGCGCACGTTAAGTCCCCGAGTCCCCGCAGACCCCTTGCCACTATGTCCCAGGCGGCTGCACTTGGCACCCTGGTGCTATTGCTGCTGCCGCTCCCGTGCGGTACTGGGGTGCCTGGGGATAACTCGGATGTTGCCTTGGACTACTGGGCTTTGGAAGGCGAGGAGGGCACGGAGCAACAGCTGCATTACCACGACCCCTGCAAAGCCGGTAGGTACCACTGTCGCCCTTCTCCCAGCAAGTTGGGCAGAAGTTTGCCTTTGAAATGCAAATGAGCGGTGGGCAAGGCCGACCATTCTGCTCCTGGGAGATGCCCGGAGTTTGGGGGGTGGCGGGGAGGACAATGTCCGCGAGGGAAGCTGTTTTGACACTCCTCGGAGTCCTGGACATCCTGATCCGGGTTAGCAGCCACATCGGGTGGCTGCTGCACGAGTGGTCCCAAAGCGAAAGCCTGTGTGGGGCACGGTGGGCTCTGGTTGCCTGTCAGCCACTCGGCACCCGCTACCCCAGGACACTGCAGGAGTCGAGCCTGGCTGGACCCTGTGCTCCCGGCTCCGATGGAGTAGCTGTTTCATTGGAGTTCACAACAGTTGGAAGTTTCCCGCGAAGTTTCCCAAGGTCTGTAGTTACTCTTGGGAAGAGATTAGAAGACAGACAGAAAAGCTTCACAGGAGGCAGAAGGAAGAGTTGCCTAGGGAGAACGCCCACGACTTGAATTGCTCCAGCCTTTCCCCAGACTGAGATGGAAGTCAGCAGGTGCTCTTAATTCCACCAGGAAGCTGCGCCCCTGAACAGCACCGGACACACTGGCCTTGTGAGCGCAAACTGGCCCCAGCTCTACAGTTCCAGCTACCAACCCTCTTGGCTCATCAGGGGTGTGTGGCGAGGTGTAGAGGGGGGTGACGGAGCACCCTAGTGAAGGCTCCTTAAGTGTCCATCCCAGGAGGACACAAGCACAGCCAAAGTCAGGGACGGGGCAGTTCCCAGACCCAGGGAGGTGTTGAACTTAGATCCCTTTGAGACTGCTTCTGGATGGTGGCCAGGAGCCCAGGAGTTTTCCTTTGGCCATTGCCTCATCTGTTTCACTTGCCTGTGGGCAGAGATGAGAGACAGGAGGCAAGAGGGTGGCCTTGAGAATACTCAGGGGACCAGGGTGCTTCCTCTAGGCACAGTGGCCCACCAGGTCTCGGTCAGTTCCCCATTCCCTCACTGCCACAGAGACCTCTACCAGCCTCAGCTTCCTCATCTCTAAATTGAAAAATTAGAATTTTGTGCCAATGGAAGGAGTAGGGGTGTTGTCCTTATTTTATTGTTATTGTGGTAGCTCTAGTGTGTAGGCTGGAGTTGCTTCACGTACCTCTTGTCTGGAGAAGATGAGGCTCCTGGGAGAGCTCAGAAGTTCATGAGACCAGAGGATGCTATGCAGGTTGAAGGTCAACTTGGGTGTAGGGGACCTTGTCTAAGCATCGGGAAGACCCCTAAAGGATATCCACCTATTGTCCTGCATGTGAGGCCTAGGTTGGGAAGTAGTCAGAAAGGGTGATTTCCAGGTAAGAAAGACACACCACCATGGCCTGACTGTGACATCCAGCTCTTTGTGGGACCTTGTTTTTGGCCAGGATGGTCTCCTGAGCACTGCTGGAATGGTGTCCTGGTCCTAAAAAGAGAGCACTTAGTCTTGAAAATAAGGTGGAGGTGAACAGGCCCAACAGTCACACCTGGCAGATCCTGGACCCTGCCTGAGGAAAGCTGCCTTTGAGGTGGTAGGGCCACTGGAGCCAGGGGGGAGATTAGTTTGAGCAATAGGCTGGGTGCCTGCTGTGTGTTAGATGCTAGCTTAGATGGTGTAGGTCCGGAGAGAAAGATACAAATCTAACCCAGAGCTCCCACCTGGCCTAAGCCTCCAGGGACAACCCCAAGGCAAGTTTGCCATTGGCTGTCCAGTGATTTTAGAGAGAATGCTGGATAACAAACACACGAATGTTCTGACTTCATAGATAGGATGGGGTGAGCAGACAGAGCTGGAAGGTAGAGAAGCCTCTGTTCAGCTGCTTTAATGTATTCTTCCTGGCCCCACCCCTACCCAGACCCCCACCGCAGCCTCTCCCTGGACTAACCTGATGCTAAGAGCAGCCAGAAGAGAGGGATGGCAAGAGAGACCTGCAGCAAGAAAGCAAGTCATCCCGTCCTCCTGTGAATTCTGTCATCTAGAGAGTGCCCTATGGAAGCCAGAAAGTGGGTGGCACTGGGCTGAAGTCTCAGTGGGATGACAGCTTCCCCACTAGGGGGAACCGCACTTCCTGGTAGCACATTGAAAGTTTTCCCTTCAGAGGCAGCCTCTATCCCAGTGAAACGCTAACCAGGAAGCTCCTCTCGCCAGAAGTCCCCCTCCTGGCCCTGCCTGGGGCTTCGAATACAGACCTTCCCCTCCTGTCCCTTCCCTGGAGTCGGTCTCCGTTCCACTGTGCAACTGTAATGCAGAGAGGCGAGTCCTAATAGTGGGCAAGTTCTATCCCCCCCTGGGCATCACCTTCCCTGTAGGATGGACATAGTGAATTTGTTAGAACTATAAACTGACAGATGTGGGGAGCTGCTCAATTTTTAAACATTTTAAAATTACAGTTGTCTTCATTTATTTTGTGTTTGGGTGGGTGCGCTGGAATGCCAGGGCATGCATGTGGTGGGCGATCAGAGGACAACTTTCAGAAGTTGGCTTTCTTCTTTTACTGTGTGGTCCTGGGCTTGAACTCAGGAGCTTGGGCTTGGCAGCAGATGCCTTTACCCACAATGCCATCTTGCTAGCCAAGAAACTTCTCTCTTGATCTACATAACCTGCCTTACCCTGAACCCACAGGGCACCATGTGAGTTCCTGTGCTTGAGTTCCCTGTCTCCTCCCTGTTCAGTGTTCTATGTTTCTCTGACTTTCATTCCAGCCTAGCCATCAAAGCTGTGTAAACTACTAAGTGCTGCAGCCACTCTCAACGAACCATTTCGTGGCTTTCTGCTTACTGTTTCCACCACTTTACCCTTAACGCCCACCTACTCTGCCATGTATAAGCTACATGACTTGGGGCAAGTGTGTGCTCTCCTCGTGTCTTTGTGTCCTCATGTGTGGATAGGAATAATTTCCGAGAGATTGCAGTACACGGAATGAGAGATATGCCAGTCACTGAGTACTTTATAAACAGATTTTCGAGAAACGTGTTGAAAGAACATCTTTATCACTAAAGCCTTTGATGCTGTTTTAAGCTGTCAGTTCTAAATTTACTAACAGTTGATGCTGCAAAGAGGGTGGTTACTAAGCCAGATGATGGGGAAGAGGGAACCCTCCTGGCATGTAGCTGGGCAACAGCCGTGGGCTTCTGGGGCACAGTGTCTGTTGGTTCATGGCTTTATTACTGGCTTTTCCTTAGATGCTGCCTCATAGCCAGGCACTATACACGAAGTCCCAGACATTCTCTGCATCTCCATGCTGGCAGGACTCCCCTTGTCTGCCTGCCTCCACCCACACTTCCTCAGCTGAGTCAAGCCAGGGGCTGGCTCCTCATTCCAGCCCTGCCCCTGCTGCCTAGGTGGCTGTTGACCACGTTGTCACTTTCCTGTGCTGTCACAGTGTCGCCCTCCCTATCTGCAAAATGGAGGTGGAAACAAAATCTTTTGCCTTGTGATGTAATCAGGAACCAGGTTTAGCCAGCTTCTTCAGAAAGCAGAGCCATAAATAAGGACCTGTGTGTAGACATTTGGAGGGTGACCCAAGGTACAGCAGGGAACGAGCAGGACACACAAGGCAGGGAAAGGGAAATTCAATGAGGGGCGTGGGATTCAGATGGCTGCTCTAGGTGGTGAACTTGGGACCCAACAGGACCTCTTAGAAGCTTGCAGGTGCCTCTTAGAACCAGCCATCCAGTGAAGGAAAGTCTGAAGTATGTGCAAAGGATGTAGCTTTTGTTGTTTGCTTCTGCTCCCTGGGAAGTTAGGGAAGAACCCACCCCTAACTTGGTGTTGAACAACCTGACTGCTACATTAGGTTCCTACTTTGGTGATATAGGAACAGATAGGGTCGTGTGTGTCTGTCAAGCTAGAAAGACTTGCAGGGTAAACAACAAGGGACTGAAATCCACCTGATGGCTACCCACCAGAGTGTCTGCCCGTGGCCTGGTTGTCCATTGGACCGGTGGGTAGAGATTCTCAGCTTGGCTTCCAACATGGCCGGGTGGTAGGCTTCCTCACAGCACAGCAACTGGATTCTAGGTGGATCTAAGAGAACCAGAAGGAGGTTTCAGCGCCTTTGATGACCACCTCACAACCTCACAGCCACCATGAGGACAAGCTTCCACCCCATTCCAGGGGCTGGAGCTTGACTGCTTTTCACCAGTGGTGACACACACCTTTAATCCCAGCACTTCAGAGGCAGAGGCAGAGGCAGAGGCAGAGGCAGAGGCAGAGGCAGAGGCAGAGAGGCAGAGAGGCAGAGGCAGGCAGATCTCTGAGAGTTCGAAGTCAGCCTGGTCTAAATATTGAGTTCTAGGACAGCCAGGACTGTTACATAGAGAAACTCTGTCTCAAAAACAAACACAAAACAAAAATAAAAATAAAAAAGCATGTGGAGTGGGCGGTACTGTTGTGGGCAGTTTTGGAAAAATGGCCCGCCACAGTCTTGATGTATTAACGGGGTTCACTAGATTTAGGGACGGTTCTAAAAAGTGCCGTGGAGGAAAAGTGGAGAGAGAGGCAGTGGATACATGCGGTTTCCCAGAGTTGACTGGAGAGTGTGGGACTCAGGTCACCAAAACTTTTCACATGAAATTTGGGTGATGCAGAGGTTCTTGGACAGCCCTTGGACTTATTAAATCCAAGGGAACTAACTGGCTGCCAGGCTGCTTAGCTAGTGGCTTGGCAAATGCCAAAGGCATCTGACAGCTATGAATCCTGGATTCAGATATGATATTCGGAGTTGTTGTCCCCTGATGGCTTAAGGCTCAGGAGCTAGAGTGAGCGTTATGGTGTAACAAATGATTTGTCATTCAGTTTGAGGTATCCCCAGTCCATAATTTCAAATCTCACCTCTGTCTGGAGTTTGGGGTCTCACTCTACCTTGTCATTTGCTTCAAGATACCTTACCAATGAGGTCTATTTAAAGGTTCACCAAGAGCCCTTCCAGGTCCTGAAATGAGGCCAGAATATTCAAGTCCATGAGATTTGGGGTCCA